ATTCCATGAAGTGAATTTCAAAATGTTTAACTTCAAATATTAGGCACGTCGTCTTAGATAGATTCTGATATTACGAATCCGCTGGTGTTAGTAACAAACCTGATAATTAGATTTATAATAGTCACTTCATTTATCCACAATAGTTATCCTTAACTACACAGGTTGTGGGGAATGGGATGGTTCATGTGATTGGTACTAAACCTTGGGTTTATCAACAACTTTCATAAGACGAGGCGTAAATTATTATCCTTATCAACAGAAGTCACAATGTTGCTAAATTCAAAATAAATAGGCAACATGCGAAGAAACGAATTCAACTATTCCATAAACTTTTTATAACTTATCAATGACTATGTGTACACAAGATTACTTGTTGAAAGCATAATTTAAAATTTTCCACTGACCAGTTTTATCAACTCAAAATGCTGCGTCTGTGTTGGAATGCTGACTTCTAGTGCAGACACTTTAGGGTTAACTTGACGTCTCACTTCTCACCAATTAATAATCACTTCATAGACTCTGTGAGCAGTGAAAAGCGTTTATTGATAAGACACTATGGCATCTAAAGTTTTGCTATTTCCCTTGGGAATATTTGTTAGTGCAAGTCGAAACGTCCGTTTTTCGTGTTTAAAACCCTTGAAATACTTGTCAATATATTTACATACTTTTAAAATAACAAACTCTTATTACTGTCTTTTTCAAAGGCAGAAACTATTTCACTTATGCTTACTCTGGTTTAATCAATTTCCCATTTGTTCAGTGCGCTTGTTTATGCAGACTGCAGTCCAAGATTATTATCTTACCGACTTAATACACATTACTTGGTATCTAAACTACTTAATTGTTTTGTCAGATTAACTTATGCTTTCTTTTGTTACCGAAATCAATTTATTATAATAATTTAAAATGAATCAGTGCTTTTCAGACAGACGTTCATTTTATCGTCATAAAAGATCAAATCAAAACTTAGTGAGGGAAGTTATTTCCTGTATGAAAACATAAAGTTGTTTTTCATTTTCACTTTTTTTTAAAAAAAAGAGAACATTTACCTTACTTTGTTCATGAGAAATGGATTTTTCCCACCACTACTGAAATTGTACAACTGAATGATGTAAACATTTCCTATGTAATAGATCCTTGAATCCTCAATTTCGTTTGAGTAACAGAAAGGCAGCAAAATGATTAGAGGAATAGTTAATCACCCGTTCTTCGTAGCGATTACTCTGATAGATGTTCACATGAAATATTACGTAAATCAGCCCCACCTACGCATTATACAGTCATTTCAAAACTTTATTTTGGCTTGTGTATATTTATTATTTATATTTTGTTCATAAAACCAATTTTCCAAACATTATTTGTAGGCGGCAAATTTCACTGTTCATCCAACAAGTAGCTTGAGAAACGAAGGAAGCATTTATATGCACACTATTCGTATGGGACCACAGGATCTGTAAGCTATTGGTAATTTTTAGATCCGATTTAGCAAATAAAAAAATTGTGAAATTTATAATAATCAAATTACAGTCCGTATGATATTGTATAATTTTTTAAATTTCATATGGAAATAAACGAAATAATGACTCTTTTATCTAATGCCTCAAGGTCTCAGTGTTCCATGCTTATGTAATGTTGTTGAACATGGTAATTTCGCATCCAGTTCCAATCTAAAAGACTTAGTATTTACTTAAGTAAACATGTTTGGTTTCTCCCCCCCCCCCCTCAATGTTTCAAGAAGGATCTTTTATTGATAAAATACTTTTAATTGTCTACAATGTTAGTAGAGGTTTGAAGCTCAACACAGCAGTAGCTTTTAGGCCTTTTATTTCAAAAGAATGGATATTGAACAAAGAATACTCTTTTAGACGACTTCATCATCAGGTTCAACAGTTACACATGCATAATAGTGAATGAATTAGTGTTATTAACAACATTAATGTTTAAATGACATTGAACCAATGCTATCAATAGCATCAACATTACAATAAACTGAATGTTAGAAAAATTAGGAAACATAATAACACAAATTCATGAATTTATAGTCTCTACTGAAGGCCAGGGCAGTATTAATGGCTGGACTTGCTTCTTTTGCACACAAAGCACTGACTGTTTCACACTAATCGCGGAAGCCTCTGCTGTTTGGAGAATACGGTTTTTGGCAATTTATTTGGTACTCGGTAGATGACAGAGAAGGATTCTTAATTGCTTGCTTGTGACATTCACTTTATTGTTATGTTGATGCTATTGCCCAGTAATCGATTGATATTGCTGATTCGATGTTATTTAAACGTTAATGTTGTTAATAACACTAATTTATTCACTGTTATGTATATATAGCTGTAGAACCTGATGATGAAGTTGTCGAAAAGAGTATTCTTTGTTCAGTAGCCATTCTTTTTACTTCAATCAGAAATGATGTGTATTCATTCATTGTTCACAGTGAACCATGTTCTATATGATCCATTCTTCCACTGGAAAATCAGATAACGATTGGAGTCATGAAGAAGGAACGGCAAGTGGTTCAGAGAAATGCAACCACTCAGACAGGTCATTAACCGTACAGTTGCCTTTATGCATAATTTTCAGAATTTCAATGTCAGTAATGCTGTGTTATTTTTAAAAACCTCATTGCTGTTAATATCAATCATAGCCTAACTGTAATGGATATATAACTGTAAAACTGGATGAAATGATCGAAAAGAATATTCTTTGTTCACTAATCTGACTTTGCTAACACTAAAATAATCTGAAATTCAGAACATTACTTGTAAGTGGTAGGCCTGATCAAAACGCAACAGAAAAAATATTGAAACTGTTGCGTTTAAATTAGCAATCGCATAGTATGATGAAGCATCCTGTCAATCAGATGTGATAAGTTTAAAAGTAATGGTGAATGGATATCACATAAGAGGTGAATAAATGGAGGCTTTATTTATTTGGGAAATATCACTGCAGTGTTGTTTTGCTTAAACTGTTTACTACTATTCATTCATAAAGTCTTGGCTATGTCCAAAATTAGGCGTCATGCAGTAGTAATTCACGAATTTAGCTAATTAAATGTTGTTTTTATGTGTGATCCCGTATTCACTAATACTCGTAAACTTAAGAATTTGGCCGAAAATAGTTTTACTTTATTATATCTTGTACAGTACGAAACATTTATTAACTGTGACAGATACTTCTTCTCAGTGAGATGCAAGAATAAAATGGAATATAGACCAAAATTTCACTTTTCATGACTTTTAAATATCCCTTGTTTATAGCGGATAAACATTCTAACTAGTTCTAAGTAGTTGGCTGTGAAGCAGAAATATAAAAGTAGAATAAGTCAGTGAATTTTCGAAAACCGTTCAACATGAAATACACAAACAGTGTTATACCACATAAAGTATTCTGCTGATATGCAATACGCCCTACCAATGTCTGCAGTTGCCCATGATGACAGTTTACTAACATTTTTCTAGCTGACTTTATTCTCCTCCTAACTGAGAAAAGCCAGTAAAATTCAGTATCAGCTTTCCTGCTAACAGTAGTAGAAATAATATAAATTTCAAACAGGTTGAAGGCTTTTGAAGTGATTTTTTAGACCACATACATAAGCCTAAAGTGGCAGTTGGGAACCACTCCTTTCTTAGATACTTTTTTCTCAAAACACCTTTGTTTTGAAAGGTTGAAAGCAAAAAAGTTTTAATATACAGGTTTCTAATTAAGAAATGAATTGCAAGCGTCATCTGTAATAACACAGTATGAACGAAACATCATCTAAAGTGGTGTATCATTTCACTTTATTTTGAAACACAAATAGCATTTGTGCATTTGTTTACGAAAAATTCTAACAGTTCCTAATTTGTCTTCATCAACAATTATTTAGAAAATCTTCACTTTTAATTGATGATTTCACAGTCACTATACAATATCTGCACTTTAACACTGATAACATGTAAGTCGATGTACATTGTGATTATGGATAATACGAAGATAATCTCGACGACTGACATAAAAAGGAACATAATTAGAGTGGAAATCTGATAAAATATAGGCTTAAAATGAAACCAAAACATTTTCTCGAGATTTGTCAACAAAGAAATCTGTTTACTGTGTCATCACTGCTATTTTTTAGAAAGTCACTGATTAGCATTTTTCAAAAAGAATCACAAATTACATAGTGTCTGGGAAATTTCGAGGACATTATTATACATCAACAGATAGGGGAGACTTACAAACGACTGAAAACTGATCACTTTTACAGATTAATCAATGTCTTATGAAATGTTATTCAACAACTGTCATTCAGAAGTACGAATCCTAATTTTCAATCTGAGTTTCGCCTATACGCAAGGGGAAAAATTGCATGTCCTAACTATGTAGCACGTTCAGAATAGAATAGCCAAGCTTGAAGCTAAGTAATCGCTTGCTGCACTGTGCTATATAATTTGAATGGCGTATGTGTTAATGGAAACTTTAATTCAGTGATGAGTGTTTCGACTAAATTGTAAATACGTACTAGATTACTTCAAAATCTTCATCTCGATACTACTGATTATCTTACACATGCATCGATATTTTCGTATTCGTGGTGATGAACAACTTAGCAGGCTTCTTTATTCGTACTTTTATTATTTGAATAATACATAGGACTTAATACGTGGAAACTAGTTTTTTATACTAACGTTAGGACTACTCCAGAATCAACAAGAAGCGCCAAGTATTTCGGTGGAAACTTTTGATCACATCATCACCTGAACCGTTAACACTATTTATTTCGACGAAGTGTATGTTGCCGAAGTTTCCCAACTTTAAGCGTACAGAAGAATAACACACTACCACATGTAATTTAAAATAAATAGATATAATAATAAGAAGAACAATCACACCCACTTTGTTAAAAACTAGGTAACAATTTGTTTGCTTATATAGGCTTTATTATTAACAATTCATCTGTGACAATGTTTTGCATCCTTATTCAATGAGAGAAGACTTCCTGTTAGACAGTCGCTGTCTCAACATCTTTTCAAACATTTTGTATACTTATACCGATTTTTACGTAATGGGTTGTATAAAAATTGGTCGCAAGACGAATGACAGTCCATCTTTCTGCTTTGCTGTAAACCAGGAAATGAATGTGAAGCGTTCATTTGATCAACACAGTTAATGAAGAAGATCACAATAGTTACCATCCAAAATGTCGGCGTAGCAATCTGTGTGATAAGGTGAAAACACCATACAACAATTCAGGTGTATCGCAATAGTTAATGTCATTATCAACAGAACGAAATTAAAGTTTGACTTACTTTCATTTTGACAGTTTTAGAAGTTAAAACAACTCTTTTAGTTAACTCATAGCTTTATATACACTGACATTCGTTTGATACTTCTCCGGAAATAACAAACTTAATTTCTTTCTAGAAAATGGCATTGCTAAACAGGAAATAAATAATTAACTTTGACTGATAATGGGTTTAATGCTAAAATTATTGCTTAATTAGTGACCTTTACAACATGAAACGTAAAAGCTAAGCGCAAAAACAATAAAATAATTTTATATGAGATGAAACGTAATGCGTAAAGAAGGTCAAAACATAGAGCCATGAAGTTCACAAGACCCTTGGCATGAAAGTGAGTTCAGTTTGACTTTAACTTTATTACTCAACATGTTGTGCAGTTACCGACGGAAACTTCTTCTCTTGAAATTCACTGGAACTATCTGTTCTGTGCCACTGCATTTAGGGATATAATGACACAAATTATTATTTACTAATGTGGCGACTTCGTATGAATTAGTTAGATCTACTTCTCAATTTTCTTGACAGTGGCCTCCAACTTAGATGCAAAATACTTGTTTTGCTAAGCAATACCTTTTCTAAGTTGAATAATACCTCTAGGAGGACATTTTGACTATCTAGCAAGTGAGCATACACAATGAAACGTCTAGTAAGTACCCAAAGATATAATGTCCATTTATGGCATCTTCACTGTACTTCATAATCACCAAAATACAAGTGATTAACCAAGTACAGGTAACATAAGCTGTTGTGACTTCGATTTATGTCGTGAATTCTCAGAACCAGGAATAATAAGTAATTTTAGACTGAAGTCTATGCCTAATCACAAGTGGAATTTTTAAGGAGATTTATGCTAGGGTATCAGTCACACTGCAAATGTGTGGTGTAAAACCTTTTTATAAATTTATAAATGCATTATACATAAATATATATGTCGACTGACCCAGCCACTGACTAGTGTAGATGTGACGATCGTTTGCTAGGTGCAAAATCTTTAAGGCTTACATCTGCATACTCACAATTAAGAAAGTTATGTTACTGATAAATGAAGAACTGATTTTGAAAGGACTACAGAATTACCTCTGCAGTGTTCAGTGCACTAGCCCGTAAGCGTAGAATAATGCGAGGCGAAATTGAATGATAGGCTTTATCTAAGTAAATAAATGCTGCTTTTGGGAAAGGAATTTGTTTGATTTATCAAGTAGATTAAGATTCCCAATTGTCAGATAATTTAAGTATGTATTTTTAAAACTCATTTCTACTAAAGCGGCATATTGTATATTCGTCAGGCGAAGCTCACCGCAATGCATAGTTTTATATATACTCAAAAAACTACATGTAATACACTTTCACTGACATGTTCAATCTCACCGAAAATGAATTCATCATCAGTTTCACTGAAAAAAGTGTTTCTTACTCACTACATGCTTTCGACCTCTGGTCCGCTTAGACTATAAGAATCCACTTAACAGAAGTAATCAAGATTTTGACAGGAAGTAAAAATGAATCGAAAAAGTTAGTGTAGTTACAGAAATGGACGAGTGTACCAGCAGCTCCCATAAGCATATTCGCTTACTTTTCCGATTTCATGCATATTTATCATCTGTATGTAAAATGTCAATAGTTATTTGCACGTGTAATTTTGTTAGCTTATCAGTGTTAAGTTGATGGGCACTCATGAACCGTAGCAGTTAGATGATAAGAAAATTCGGAATATATATATATACATATACAGAAGAAATACCATGATACCAGAATCTTTTTTTAAATTTTTATGAAGAAATAACACAAGTGACAATATGTCAATTTGTATAAATCATTCTAGATAGTTTCACCATCAATTGACAATCTGAGGTTAGCCTATTTCAGTAAAATAATCACTGACAAGGGAAGAACCTTCTGATAGACGGGCAGTTACTTATCATTCATTCACGTGACATTCTGGCATTACTGGTGATAAGTATAGTAAAAAAGCTAGTAGGTTAGTAGCCGGTTCTTGTAATACACCTAGTAGAGTGCCGGGCACTTAATCTACTGGTAGCTTGAATGAACCTTGCTTCAAAGATATTCTAAATGTAAATACATTTTTATTGAAACATGAAACTATATTTTGTTTTTATTTCATTCAATTCTGAGTAAGCAAAAACTCTAGAAAAGATGAAATGTCCTTCATAAATGCGTTGAAAATGATGTTGCTGTCAAACTAACAGATTTTGAACATGTCGAAATGTCAGATTGTGTGCACTCTGATAATAAGTGATCACAATCGCCTCAGATAGGCAAATGATTACGAAGTTAATATCATTTGGTTATCACTTCTGGCGACTGACTGATTAAATTTCAAGATAAATTGTTTGTTTCTTTATCACCGAATTCCTCACTATTTCACGAAAACAACCATTAACGTCATCTGCCTATATTAATAACTTCTGAAGTAACAGCTTAAATAAGGATGAATGTAAGGTTGTTTTCGTTTTCATATCCTTTCACCACTGGGATCACAAAGTCTGTATTTCTCTAGTCATAATCGATAAACAAAGGATTTCAATTCTACAGAAATAAATATTGAAAAATTGTGTCTACTGTCTGTAAAAACACAAGAAACTGAAGTTGACTGAAAGAATTTACTGCTACTAGACTTTGAAATAATGGAGAAGATTTTTACCAGACTTCCTTTTGTGAGTAGGATTTAATCTACAATGTTACAATGTACACATTGATAAGTTATTTCCGATTTGGAAACATCTCAGTTCATTTTACATGAAATCCTGCTACTGGAAAATAGAAAGTCAGATTCTGATTGCCATGAGTCAGGATTTCTTCTACCTTAGTCGTAGGTAAACTAATCAAGTAACTTAGAAGACTTTCAAAAACAAACTTTCTATTGTGGTGATAACGCTGGAAGGTTTTACTCAGTGACAATGTATAATCAACTGAAAAACAACAAATTTGGTTGATAAAAAATCTACTTTGTCTCTTCGAATTTCCCGTCTGCTCACTGTGAGATAACACTAAAGGCAGAAACAAGTAATGAGTTATTTGAAGGTACTTACTATATAAGTTTCTATGTAATTTTATAAATTTATATTTTTAAACCTGAAGAATGAACTATTTAAGTTGTTCACTTCACATACTATTTTCAACTGTACTCCCAGGTTTTCCAATGGTTCTCTAACTAATGTCAGATCATGATGAAAATCCATATTTTTTAACTTGTAATTGGGAAGCTAATCCACTTACAGCTGTGGTTCTACTCTAGTGCATCTAACCCACGGTTTAACCTTTCCAATTTCTGTTATTCCAGCACAAACGTTTCCCCAGGCTACACTTTTTTGAATTTGTTTACTAGATATTTCATTGTGTATTTACAGGAAATACAATCAATGATTTCTGTTTTCTTTATGTCATTTCCATCATATATTTAGAGGCTTTTTTGTTTGGCAGTGTATTCTATTCAGCAACCAATTGCACAAATGCAGATTTGCAACACTACTTAATACACATCCCATGGTGAAAAAACCACATATATCATCGGCTGTGACCTTGGAATACAGAGAACTGAGATAAAAGTTTTCGATGCAAGGCAATTTCAAATCAAATTAAATTAACAAAGAAACTATGTAATTGGCACAATCATCGTGTTTTCAGTCTCCGTTGTCTGGAACAAACTGCACATCCTAAATCCGTAGCTGTCGAGTCACCTGACAACCCCAGTAGGTCGAATAAAGCAGCTCAATATTCAGAAAGAAGACAATGCAATAAGTTCGACAGGGTGCTTAAACTAAACTCTAATCCTAAACACCATAATTTTGAAAATACGTCTAACCATAAAATTCTAGATACTAGCAGTTTGAACGGACATGATGGTTTGATGTTAGCTGATGCATAGGAAATCCTGATTAATAAATAAAAATGGATATGTATCACTAATTAATAATACTTGGTCAAATTCCTGACTGTCTATATCTTCCTATGGAGACGTTAAGAAATGTTTTACGACTGTTTACACACACACGCATGCACACTCTGTTTAAAGTATTTAACAAAGGTAGACCAATATTTGTAAGTCCGAGGTCAAATTTTGATCACAGATCATACAATTTTGTTTCTTATACTTGTTAATACTTGTGTTTATGAATCATGATTGGACAAAGTTTTTAAAAAGATGTGCCTTTTATGTATAAAAACCTCTGTTATGTTAATTTTGATTAATTTCCCTGAAGAAGTTCGGACCAGATTGCCGAACGAAACGTTGGAATTACTTATTTCAATATCGCTGAGATTTTACAAATATAATTTTTTACAAATGTCTACTTCTCACTCGGCGCCCAAATATTTTAGAACTATTCGGTCAAATCTTGACGACAGTTCATTTGAAGCAATTTCAAATCCTTCAGTTTTCAATCTCTTGTGTACATAAAACTTGAGCCCGTAAGAAAGAAATCACTGAACAGGGCTAATCCATGTCTTAAAATGCAACACGCTTACTTTCTTCAATTGTCACTCATATTTCGAAAATAAAAAAAATAATTTTTTCAGTGTCAACAAATGTCACTTTAAGGATGTTTGTCAATACCTTTTAATATGAGGAAGTTTGTATACACATCTATACCAATCGAACTGTATGAAATAATATTAAAACTTTACAAATTTTAATATTCACAGTATTGACAGAGGAAATAGGGATTTTTTCACACTGGAGGGTTTAATGCAACTAAGTAACAAAACGTTTTTTCGTCTAGATTTTAAGAGACTCACCGATGGAACGTTGAAAACACTAATAGTAATAATTCGTTATCATTGGGAAAGTACCAGATGACACCTGCTTACTATTTTTTTCACACCACTCTAAAGGATAAAGTTCGGTGAGTTTATGAATTTCCTTATTCAGTAAGTTGATCAACATCCTTTTATTCATTAACCTGCGAAAAATACAAATTATGCTTGTGAATGATTAGCTATCATTTATCGAATTTTTTTGAAACTAAAAGTTGTCACCGTAATTCCAATTGCGA